GCGAGCTCTGCGTACTCCGGACTGGGCTTCCAGCTCTCCTTCTTGGGCTCATAACCTGAGTGATGGTCGCTCCTCGGCTACGCCGAGTGGTGACCATTGTGATGAAGGAAGTAGTCGTAACAACAGTAAGTTGCAGGGACTGAAAGTCCAGCAGGGGAGAAAACCGAGTGCTGCTGCTTGCTCTTGACGGCGCAAGTTGTCGAGTGTGTAGCAGCACACGGAAAAACCCCGGTAACATATATTGGTAGGATTAGCAGTAGGATGGGGCTGGCGGCTCGCCAGCCAATGGTCCGTCGAAGTCCGGCTTCTGGACGCGAGCATCGCGTCCTGGAGGCACCTGAGCCTCAGGTTTGAGCTGGACGCAGTCCTGGCTCTTCCTCCACACTTCACAGCGGGAACGACGCAGACGGATACAGGTGGCACAAGACGAGGAGCAGAAGTGGTTTAGTATCAAGAAGGTGCTTCAGGGCCAAGCACAAGAGCTGAGTTACAAAGAAGCTCGAAATGCCTGGAAATACGCTGACCGGTTCGTGTTATCAGAAGACGGCGTGCTTCACTATCTTAGATTGAATCGTCGGTACGACCACGGTTGGCAAGAGGAGACCAAGCTGCGGCTTGTGGTACCGACAACGATGATTCAAGAGGTCTTGCAGAACTGTCACGACTCGCTGGAAGGAGGACATCAAGGTGTGGTGAGAACGTTCCATCGCGTTAAGTCCGATTAATATTGGATCGGCTTGTACGCTGACGTGGAGAAGCATGTGAAGTCATGTCCAGATTGCAGCTCGAGTAAAAGCCGTCCGCAGCTTCGTGGATACTCACCTGGCAACGTACTAGCCGAACGACCTTTCCAGATCGTCTCGATGGATTTTGTGATCCCACTACCGAAATCTCGCAGGGGCAACACGGCGTTGCTCCTATTTCAGTGCTCGTTTACGGGATTCGTTATTGCCAAGGCTATGTCAGATACGACTGCACTGAGTGTTGCCCAAGTGTTCGAAGAATGTGTGTACCGACGATTCGGAGCCCCATCATTAATAAGGAACGACCGCGACCCACGCTTCATGAGCGAGGTTTTCCAAGCATTTGCAGAGATGATGCAGTCAAGATCACGAGCGACTTTGAGCTATCGGCCACAGGCTAATGGACAGCAGGAACGCTCGGTGAAGTCGGTGATGGGATCCGTACGGGTGTACGCGGAAGACCCTCTACAGCAAGATTGGGACGAAATCGCGGAGAAGCTGGTATTTGCTATTAATACTTCTCAAGACACTACGAGGAAGGAGACGCCGTTCTACCTCGTTCACGGTTGGGATGCTCAGTCGACGCTGCGGGCAATGTCGTCATCACTCAAACAAGGGCTCGGCAAGCAGTCTGACGCACTAGCGTGGCGGCGTGAGATCAATCGACAACATGAGGTCGCCCTCACTATGGCCAAAGATTATCAGGCTGTAAAAAAGGAGCGACGAGCAAAAAAGCATAATGATGCTCTGAGTCGACTGGAAAAAGCCGCTGTACCTCAACCAAGTGGAAACGAACACTCGGCAGACCCTCTAGAAGCTTCAGAAGAGATGGAAGATCCTGCAAGAGTCCCACCGAGCTCTCTTTTCGAGATTGGGAGCCGGGCGTGGTTGTACATGGAACGCGTCAGACCGGGCTTAACGAAGAAATTAGCTCACCGATGGCATGGACCTTTTCGGATCAAGCGCAAGGTGGAAGAGTTTGCGTACGAGCTGGAACTGCCTGACCGAAGTGGGTATCGCTTCTACCCAGTAGTGCATGTGTCGAGACTCAAGGCTGTCAACGAGTTCAACAGTCGACCGAGCACTCGGTTGGTACTAGACGCGACTAATGAAGCAAGACTCGACTTCGATGAGGAACTGTTGCCTGAGGACAGCTGGGAACCAGATCAAGTTGCCGGTGAATATGAAGTCGAGGCCATCCTCGACGACAGAACACCACTGACGACGAGCACGGAGCGTGCTGTACGCGAGTTCAAAGTCAAGTGGGTGGGCTATGAAGATACAACTTGGGAACCATCATCAAACTTGTCTTGTGGAGGTCTGCTGTACGACTATTTGCGAGCCAAGAAGAGCGAGAATCGGCTGCAGATGGCGCAAGTGGCGGACGAAGACTAGCGTGACTGGATCACGTATGAACTGTCCACAGGGCGATGCAGCCTGTGGTAACAGACGAAAAACGTTACTGCAACAACAAATTGTATATGCATTTGAAGAACAACATGAACATGATTACGCTGTGGAAGTGGATTAAGAATAAGAAAACATGAATGCCGACCGGGGAGCGACCACTGAAAACGAAGTCACGCGAGACACCTCAACACTTAGCTGAGATGCTGGAGAACGTCGTGGAGCATGCAGCGAGGATTCAAATCGATTCCAATTGCCTGGCCGCGGTGGCCAAGAGTGCCAACGAAGTCGAGTCACCACTCTCCTTCTCCTCTTCATCAGGAACCTGAGCCTCGGAAGCTGGAGCTGCAGCCGGACTCTGCGAATCCTCGGTACCAGCTTCAGGAGGAGCAGCAGGAGCCATCTCCGCGGATTCAGCGACGACGGGGAGTGCTGCAGGAGCTACCACAGGGAGTGAAGAGTCCGGGGCAGCAGGCGCCGGAGTGTCGGTTGATGACGCTGCTGTCGAAGGAAGTGCAGCAGACTGAGGGGCGTTCGAACCCTCGGTCTTGCCCTCCTGAGAAATAAGTCGAGTGACACGAGGTGATGAGCAAGGTACCGATGATTCAGGAGAAGGATGGGCTTACGTACCTCCAGCTGCTCACGTTCGCGACGTCTACGAGGATTGAGACGCTGAAAAGCGTCGGACACGGCTCGATTCAGACGCTTGGACATACGGTGGCGAGATGGTGAATTGGAGAATGCAGAAATGTCACAACGGGCACCAGTACCGTGGCTTCCATTGCGACAGGGGCAGTTGTGGTGTAGTGATTTCTCCGTAGTTGCGGATTATCACCCGTCAACAAAGACGTGACACCGCCCAAGTTGTTCAAGCGACGAACCCTCGGTCGGGTGATGTACGGAGACGCCAAGGTGCAAGGGACTCGACGGCGTCACCTCCGAGTTTTCAACAAGTATCGGATACGGCCCTATGTCACTGAATCCAGGCTGTCCCTATTATTAATAATGGACTGGCCGGATTCGCATTCAGCGGACCATCTACGGTACGAACCCTCAGTGGCGGTTGGGATGAGTTCGCGGAAGACTAAGCGACCCTTGGAAGGCACGTTCACCGTCTGGGACAGGGCGCGGACCGTTAAAGATGCTCATGCGACGGTGCAGACGACGCTTGGCATGCAAGAAGATCCATAACGGATCATTGTTCACTTGATATTTGTATACTTGATTAGGACTTCTTATTAGGAATAGACCCGAAAGGGTAAGCTTAAATACAGAACAGAATTTCCACTCAAGCACACAGAGCGACGTCCGGCTTCAAGGTAAGCGTCAGGTCAAGCTTGTTTGAGTGTGTTATGCCTGTCGGTGAACTCGAAGCTCTGTAGCGAGGGTTCATCCGGCAAGGCCAAGAGACTTTGTGTATTGGTCGATTATTATCGGGAGGTTTTACGTGACGGCTTATTGTTGCCTATTTGCACGACTGGGAGTGCTTGAATTGCCTCCCTTTTATTTCTTCCAGCCGAGTGTTGAACACTCGGTGATCTCGTAAAAGGCTTACCCGTGCCTGGTACCCTTCCGCTGTTGGGACCACGAGGATTCAAAACACCTGCTAGCTTTGCTCGTGCTAGTAGCGTGTTCTTATTTTACTGGTTGGCCTATATAAGTAGTTTACAAGGTCCAGTTTGTCCCGGTGCAAGGGCAGAACTGGGGTCTTCAGGTCCGCCCGAACGATCGTTTACTATCCTAGTAGACGTATTGTTGTGGGAACATCCTAACTACATCTGTAGCTAGAGTTCACGTGGGATTTCCAACACCACATTTCCGTCGAACGGCCGGATCCCCAGCTTCCTCTGCCGGGTGTCAGGTACCCCAGCGAATCCCGGTCCTGGCGACGGTGGCGGTGGCGCTCGATACGCTTGCGGCGGCACATAGTGCTGCGGCAGCGCCGGCTGTGGCGCCTGAGCCATCTCGACGTTCGCTGCTGCATCTCGGTACTCACGTTGCTTCATCCCGAAGTACGTGGCCGGCGAGACGGCAGGCGACGTGCGCCGCGGTGGCGTCTGGTCCAGGGCCTGCCTGTCCATGGCTCTGCCCAGGCCCAGCGACGACCCGAAAACGCTGCTCTCTCGACCCTCGCGTTCTTTCTCCTCCTTTCGTTCCTGCGACTCCTCCAGGCGTCCCATGCGCACTGCGAGGTCCTTGAGTAGGTCTAGTAGCTTGTCCTGCGTTCCTTTCGGTTCGTCGTCCGCCTTCTTGACTTCATCATCTTCGCCGTACTGGCTGCCTGCCCTTTCGCGACTTGGCTCTGCTTCCGGCTTGCCTTGGACTTCGTCCGTGGCAACAGTATGAACCATTGGGCTCATAACCTGTTAGACAGAGGTTATACTGTGAGAATGCAGAAGTGATATTTGCTCTGTTAACCATCTTCCTGTGGCAGCCACCCGTGCCACCACTCCTGTGTGTCCGTATAGTCGGCGGCCGAACCGGTCTTTTCTACCGCCTTGAACCGCAGCTGCTCCAGCCGCACGGTCCAAATCCAACAGTAACGGGGTACGTAGCCCCAAATATACTCAGTTTACAATCTACCTTATTTAGGTCACTTCGCTCTCTTTAAATAAAGAGGGGACCTGTGAGCTGCCGTTCCCTGAGAGTTTGTATACTCTCGGAAGATAACTCCTCTAGCGCAAGGTGCTGTGTGACCCCGTCACATCGACGTTCGGGGTGATCCCGTGGATTTTGTTCGCAAAATAATTTGATTTTATTTTAATTTTGTCGACAAAATTCCATTTTAATTGCGAACAAAACCAACACTACCCCCCCCCCCCACAAAAAACAATGTGGCGCCTGCCAACAGCGGTGGTGGCGCCTACTCGAACTTCGTCGCGTCGATCGCTGGGACATCTATTCCAACACCAGATTATTGGTCTGTGAGGCCTCTTTTGATGGCGTTGGCAATAATCCAGCACTGAACTTTAAACATTTGGTGTTACTAGAGGAACTGCCGGAGCTGAGGAGCATCCTAGCCGTGCAGAATCTGGTGGCCAAGATTCCAGAGCAGCCCAAGTCGCATTGTCTGAGCAAGAATGACGCGTACCTTCAGTGGATAGAGATGTACCGCAACAACAACTCGCTCAATGCCCAGTCACAATTGAATAAGGATGTTTTCACCGCATTTATGAAAGAGGCCAGCGAGTACCTGCAGAAGTTGGAGGAAGAAGCCTTCCAGGGCTGCGATAAGATCGGAATGATGGAGGATGAGGATATCTGTAGCCCCAAGGCCGATGCATTCCTGGAGGTAGTCAAGCTGAAGCTATCCAAACACATGTGTACGGAGGCTGCGGCCAGCTTTGAGCTGCTGGACAAGGACAATGATGGTAAGCGGCGAAGCCAGACCTCGTTTACTTTCCACAATTTGGCAAGCGGCCCTCTGAACGTTTTAGGTTCTCGTCCAACAAGTAGGAAAGGTGCACATTGACGAAGTGGAGAAGCTGCTGCAGGTTGCAGCATACGGCAACGGACGGGAATGGCTGAGGAGTACGTTGCGAGGCGAGTTTTGAAGCATTGAAGCTGATCATGATTTTTTGTGTGGTGCTAGGTCAATTTCACTTGTACGATGCAGACAGCGACGATGTGGTGGACGAGGCTGAATCAAGGCTCATTTTAGACTCTATGATTGCTACGCAAAAGGCGGTTATTACCGAGATTTTTGCTACTCATGTACGTGAAGGAATCCCACTTGGCGTGTTGAGCCTTTGCTAACTCGTGGATTCTGCAGGTCGATAACTTGCCTAAAAAGCACGAGAAGCTCTTTACCAAAAGCCTGTCGGAAGAGGACTTTAAGTCGAAGATCCCGGAGAAGGTGCGCTGCGTTTTCCACTTCGCCAACAAACTGGACGAGGATCGCAAGACGTACGACTGGGAACTGTTTGAGAACTCGCAGGTAATATCCAAGTACGATGGATTAAAGTTTGCGAGATAAGGGTAACTCAGTCGTGATCCCCCTCACAGAAGGTAGAGTTTCCGGAGCTGCACAACCTTCTCGCCGTCTACGCGAAGGGCTTCTATGACGAGAGGTGCGTACTTCAGCAAAAGATGGACAATGTCAACGTGGAAGCATTGCTGATGTGTTTTGCGCAGGTTTACCTTTTACGAGCGCAAGCAGGAGAAGCGGAGCACGCGGAACAAGGGTCTGTTGCTCGCTGCTGCCATTGGCGTGGGCGACTACGTCGCCGCCGTGATTTAGAGACGCTGCCGCGGGATCACACATCTTTTTTAGTAAACGTTGCTTTCGACGAAAATTTGCATGAATGACACGTGGCGAAAAAGCTAAGATCCGCTGAAACCTGTTCATAATCCTTCAGTCCCGTTTTCAGCAAAAGCTTCGCTGCTTAATAAATCTAAGGTAAATGGGGGGAATGGTTTTTAACGCATGCTAAACTCAACTGATTTGTGTGTAAGTATCTTTGCGGAATTCATGCTCTCCACTTGATTTCATCGAAAAGAGAAAAAGTTTCACTTAATTCGGGCAACAAGGTATATGGCACTTACGCTGATCACTTTGGATTTTCGCGAGTCCTTCCTAGCCAGCTAGCAACAACGTTATAATTTTCTTGCTAGCCGGCTCGTCTAAAATGATGTTCATGAAGCAAGCAACGCGTGCGCTGACTCTGCTGTTCGCCGTGTCGATGGTGGTGCGTGCGGCTGAGTTTGAGCAGGATGACGACGTGTTGGTGCTGACGGAGAGCAACTTTGCCGAGGCTGTCTCGGGACACGACACGCTGCTGGTTGAATTCTACGCCCCCTGGTGCGGCCACTGCCAGAAGCTGGCGCCCGAGTACTCGGTGGCTGCTAAGAGCCTCAAGGAGCTGGACCCGCCTATCCGTCTCGCCAAGGTGGACGCTACAGCCGAGAGCAAGTTGGCCGAGCAGTTTGCTATCCGCGGCTTCCCCACGCTCAAGTTCTTCAAGGGTGATGTTGAGGCTGTCAAGGACTACGATGGTGGCCGTACGTCCGCTGAGATCGAGAAGTGGGTTGTCAAGAAGTCGGGCCCGGCTGTCAAGATCGTGGGGACTGCTGAGGAGCTCGAAGAGATCAAGAAAGCCAACGACGTGGTCGTGTTTGCCGTGATCGACGCCGAGGAGGGCGAGACTCGCACTATGCTTGAAAAGCTCGCGGACGCCGACGATCTGGCCGTGTACGTGGCGTCCACCAGCGCTGACGTGACGCAGGATGCCGCTGCCGTAAACAAGGTGGTGCTGTACAAGAAGTTCGACGAGGGCAAGGTCGTGTACGACGGTGAATTCGAGAAAGAGTCGCTGGGCGAGTTCGTCAAGGCAAACAGCCTACCACTCGTCATCACGTTCTCGCAGGAGAAGGCCCCTATGATCTTCGGTGGCGAGACGACCGAGCACGTGCTGGCCTTCGTGGACACGAGCAAGGACTACGTGTCCGACGTCGAGGCTGCTCTGAAGACTCCGGCCAAGGCCAACAAGGGCAAGCTGCTGCACGTTATCATGCCCAGCACGGAGAAGCGCATCGTGGACTACTTTGGTCTGAAGGACGAGGAGATGCCTGCCGTTATGCTTGTAAACATGGCTGGCTCCATGAAGAAGTATGGTTTTGACTACAAGGCTGACGACTTTGTCGCTAAGATCAAGGTCGGTCTCAGTGACGACTTGGTTGCATTCGAGAAGAGCTACTTTGATGGCAAGCTGACGCCTCAGCTCAAGTCTGCCGACCCTGAGGACGACAGCGACGAGGCTGTTAAGGTCATTGTGGGCACGGAGTTCCAGAAGCGTGTTATCGACAACGAGAAGGACGTGCTGCTCGAGTTTTACGCTCCGTGGTGCGGCCACTGCAAGGCTCTCGCCCCTAAGTACGAGGAATTGGCCGAGAAGTTCGCTGACGTGGGCAGCATCATGATTGCCAAGATGGATGCCACGGCCAACGAAATCGACCACCCCGGTGTGGATGTGCGCGGCTTCCCGACGATCCTGTTCTTTCCCGCGAAGGACAAGCAAAACCCGGTCGTGTACGAGGGCTCGCGCGACGTGGAAGGCTTCACGGAGTTCCTGAAGTCCAATGCTCAGAAGTTCGAGCTTGACGGCACGGAGCACGGCGCGGAGCAGGAAGAAGACGAGGAGGGGGAGGAGCAGGAGCTGGGGCAGAAGGAGCACGAGGAGCTGTAGAAAAAGGTTTTTAGGTATTGTTTTTTTTTTGCTGCTGCGAGAAAACAACGTAAAAGAAAACCTTCCAGGTTGATGAAGTGCTATGCGTTTTGAACCGTCGCTTTGCTCCCTGGAGATACTACGTAGCGATATTAGTAATACAAGAGGACGCATTTGACCCAACATAGTATCTGGTTGGACGATGCAGAAGGTGGAAATTGCTATCCGAGTCCTTGGCACATGCTACGCAGTGGGCATTGGCGTCATGATCCTTCGCTTGCAGGGCGAGGATACCAGTGAGTTAAGGGCTTCTTTTTTGTCTTGTGGAAAGAACTTAACTACGGCGTGTATACATACATGTGATAGGCTACATCATGCTGCAAGTGGTGTTTACCATGGTCTTCACGTGTCCTTGGTGGGTTTGTTCCAAATTTTCTACTACTTTACACTCTCATCCGTCTCACCAGCACATTGCAGCTTGTGGGCCATAATTAGGTAGCCTTTGATCTAGTCAGGAATGATTTCGCTGGAGGTGGAGGTCTCACGTCTTCGTCCTGTTCGCCAGGTGCTGTCGTGACTACGCTGCTCGACGGAGGATGGTGGTGCTGCCCGAGAAGAAGGTCAAGAAGAAGCCCGACATCGCCGTGGCCTCGGACAAGGCCGTGCAGCGAACGCAGGCTGAGATCCTTGCGGAACAGCGCGAGCGTGTCAAGAATCTCCACGGCGTGGCCGAGAAGAAACGTAAACTTAAGGCGCCCAAACGCAAGGGCCCTCCCTCCAAAAAGCACTGAGACCGAGAGTGATCGTCAGTCAGCTTCATGTGAAGGCCTTCAACTACACTGCGAGTGGACCCACTCAGAAGCTCATTAAGCATACATCTTCTACTACATGTACTACGTAGTAAACCGTAGTAGAAATGTGAAGGTTAAGGCATGGCAGAAAAAGCGGCAGCTTGTGGTTTCAACTGCTATGGTAGCAGCACTTAATATATTTATATGAAAAGTAAATAGGGGCTGGTAAAACACACGAGCGGGCAGCACGAAGACCAAACTGAACAAGGATGGACGGGCACGCACGGGCTCATAGATAGATACAGAGCGCCACCTCTCCTTTTCGCTTCCGACGCCTTAATGGAAGCGCTCGAACACACTCAGGCGGGGGCTCTCCTCGTCGTTACTGCAACTTCCACCAGAGGCGTCCTTCGATTCGCCACCAGCAGCAACGCCGTCGAATAGCTTGCTGTCAATGCTCAGCGTCAGTCCAGTGGACCACGGCTGGGCTTGCAGGTCGTCGCCCGCAAAAGGAGCGGATGAAGCGGACGGGAAGTCCTCCCACAACTTAGCAGACTGTAGGGAGAACTCTGTCTTCTTTGAGGCAGTAGCAGTTGAGGTAGAAGCGAGAGAAGGAGAGGAGACGCGGCGGCCACGGCCTGCTTGGGTCGGGGTAGTGTCCGGTGGGGTAGCAGTGTCCGGGATTGGCGCGTCGTCTGCGGTGAGCGAAAACTTCATCAATGCGTCGATGGCATCTTGGAGGTCTGGGTAGCTCGGCGATGACGCGCTCTTGGCAGCTTTGTTCACCGAGACAGCTCGTTGTTGGGCGGGGGGCAGCCCAATGCTGCCGAGCGTGCCCTGGTGCTTCAGCGAAGCACTGCCGTAGTGCTCACCAGCATAATTAGGGTGGAGAGAGGAGGGCGCGCTCATAGCCGGCGCCCCCCATGAGGAGCTCTTGTTCAGCGAGGACAAGAGCGAGTAATTGTCTTTGGAATAAGAAGGCATCATCTGGTGGTGATGCGGACGGAGTTGATGAAGATGGTGTGGCGTGGGCTGCTCGCCATAAAGACCGCCGCCGTAGCTGAGGTCCACGGACGGCGGAGGTGGGGTCATGACGCCTGCGCCGAGGCCACCAAGCTGGTCCTTCTCATGGTGAAACACGCCTCCACCTAGATGGCTTGAAGGACTGTACTGCGGCTGAGCGTAGCCCTCAGCTTCCTCGTGAATGAAACGGCATCGGCTACCGTACGGACAGTGTCCCGAGCCCCAGTACGACTTGCACTTAGTAGTTTTGTACTTGGGGTGCCGAACAACGTGGCGCAGCTCCGCGATGCCATGGGCGAACTGGCACTTGGCTGTAAATAAGAGAACGAAAGAAAAAAGTTGGTACAATCCAAAAACGAATTTGCGTGGGGAGCGTGACGCACCTCCGTAACGACAGTTGCCAAATTCCGAGAAGCGCTTGCACAGCTCGGTCTTGTAGAGCGAAGACTTAGTGCCGTTCTTGGGACTATTCTCCTCGTTCATATAGGATACGACACCCAACTCTTCAGGCGAGAGCGTGTAACCATCAGTGCCGGCGACGCCAGCAGAGGCGTCAAGTTCCAGGAAGTTATTGTCTTTGGCCATCGAATAATAGCCGAGGTGGTCCATCGATGAGAGCAGCATGGCGCTTGGATCAGAACGTGGGCTTAAAAGGTCTCGGTCGGAGGGGTCGCGGCTGGTAAGCGGGCGATACTTTCAACGACGGTCGTAAGATTAAATTGAAAACCTCGTGCTGCTGAGGGGGCACTGGCTTCTCCGACGGCCCCGACACCAGTCAGCTTCTCGAGAAGTTTGCGGGATGAAAACTAATACCAGTTCGGAAGGGTGGACGCTGAAGTAACGGGAAGAGGTGCGGTTCTCAATTAGAATGTGTGGCGTCAAATCACTTGAACAAAACCAGAAATAATGATGTCACCCAGCCATTGAAGCAGCAGCTCTAGATCGTGAAGTAGCAGAAGTAGCTCCAGCTTTTCGACCAATTAAGAAAAGATAAGATAAATATCTGGGGAAAATTCATTTTTAAATGGCAATTAAAACGTCCGCTTTTTAAAATTAATTTCAAAATACCGGTACGTCCTAATGACTACCGTCTTCACTCTCAATAGAAGTCCTGTGACGGGTCACATAGCACCTTGCGCTAGAGAAAGCGCACGACTTCGAAGTCTCCACTCCGCGAGGAGAGGTAGACTGGGTACCCCTATCGAAACCTCTTGGGTTCCTCGGATGAAGAGGAAGAGGAGGAGGAGGGTACTATCCATAAGCTGCGGAGATCACGAACGACCTCGATCAGCAGCAGGAGTGTAACGAAGTACGTAGCCCTAAGTGTACCCTGGTTACATGAAGTGTGACACTCCACACTTCAGGAGTATGACACGTCATACTCCGGGATATTTGGTACAAGGTACCAAGGTCATTCAAAAGCAACCATTGGTTAAATGACATTGCATTTCTATAGGTAACTTATAGTTTGTATTAAACCCAAACTTAACCTACCTATAAATATACTCAGTTTACAATCTACCTTATTTAGGTCACTTCGCTCTCTTTAATTAAAGAGGGGACCTGTGAACTGCCGTTCACTGAGAGTTTGTATACTCTCGGAAGATAACTTCCTCTAGCGCAAGGTGCTGTGTGACCCCGTCACACTTGGTAGCACTTGTAGTCAATCCACGCCACCGCGGTAGACTACCTGAACCACTCCCGAAGTTCGTTGCCATTGATAGCAACGACTTCTCGCATTATGAACGATTCTCCGATCCAGACGAGTCCGTAGAATACAGGCGATCCTTCGGGATAGGAAGGTCCTGGCAAAAGCCG